GTGCTTTGGGTAACGGGGGAACTAGTTCACGGCAACTATACGTACTTCTACATGCTGTGAATAAAATAAAGTTTCAATCTCGTGTGGTCTTCATTTCAGAGCTAATGAGGAAGGCCGGTTCTTTTGTTAAGTTTCGCGCCAACATGTTATAAATCAGATTCATATATACTTCCGCGGTTTTTCTTGTGAGAATTCGCATGAAGCCATAGAAAAGGGAAATAATTATCTTCTTTCCGCATGGACAGACAGTTTTAGCTATGGTGCTTACGCACACCTCAGACGTCAAATTAGCAAATGTTTTAGTTCATGAATAAAAAGTAATGCAAAAGTGACGTGCGTTACTTTTTATCGGCAACGCGTTACTTTTATTTGGAAGTAACGAGTAACGTATTTAGTTACTTTTGTCGCTAGCACCTACAACACTGGTTGTGTAGTGCATGAATATCCTTTCGAAACCCGTGTTGTGGCTAAAGGAAAAAAATATGAAAGTTAAGGAGATATATGCTGTTAGAGTAAAAATCATGCTCCAGTAATTGACAACATATAAATCGGAAGAACTGAAAGTTCTTCCGATTTCTTCCACCGCAGTCTCAGGTGTAATACGACATGATTAACATATAAACGTTAGTGAAATTGGCATGTCATTTGCAATTTTCCTTTTGGGCCCTTTCTTGTGCACAGGCACCACGTGTGCCACTTTCCAGTCGTCTGGTAGAGAAGCACCATTCAACGACTTATTATATATTATAAAAGGATATGGGGCAATTGCGTCTGTACAGCGGTTTTATATTCTCGGTGAGATCACATATGGTCCTAATGCTTTAGTTTCATCAAGGATTTTTAGAAATCGCAACACACCTCCTACACCAAGTTTAATTGGTTGCATCATGCTGAACGAGTTCGAGCATCTGTCGGGTAAAACAACTAAAAATATTTACTGACGGCTTCTGCTTTTGTCTGCATCATCGGTAATTTTTTTCGTTATTAACCACGAAATCTGCTATACCTAGCAGATCATTGCCGCAGTGCCTCATACGTTTCCAAAACTGTTTGCTATTAGTTCTTATCCCGTGCCGTTGTAAGTAATCTTCTTTTGCTTGCCATGCTGTAATCTTATACTTAAACATGAGTTATTCTGGCTTATCTAGCTTTTGTGCTGAGTTGTTCGTCTTATATCGCGCGTACATACGCTTGCGCTCCTTTATCAGACGGAGCAGTTGACCGGCGATCCATGGTTTCTCTCTCTATTTTAGCTACGATGGGACTGTGCTAGGAACGTACCTTTTTTTTTTTTGTTAAACTGAAAATTATTTTTTTAAATAATACCCATGCATCATGCACAGTCATTTCCCCTGCAAGACGGTTAAAAGAGACGAAATGCTTATGTAGCTCGGAAATCATCCCTTCAGAGTCTCCCTTTTTGTAAAACAGCACCTTTCTATTTGTAATGAGTTTCATTTTGGTGCGTATGGCCCATACAAAACAAAAGGCCGAATCATGAACTTTGCCAAAATGCTGGGCATGGAAACCAAGCCCTATTGGCTTCGTTTTGTACCTGATAGCCTTAAAGATGGAAATCATAGAACTTCCAAGTCATGGTCAATGGTTTGCAGTTCACTAGATTTCAGATCCTTGGATGGCTAGCAGATTCAAGCATTACCGAGGGGTTGGGTATTCGTTGAATTTCCTAACCTTGGACCTTCAAAAGCCTTCCAAGCATTGGCGAAGGGTTGGAAGTTCAATGGACTTCCGATCCCTGGAAGCCCAAAATATTTTCAAGCGTTGTCCACTGCCTACTTTGGTTGCCATTTATGAGAATACTTTTTGCACTTTTAAACGTCTTGTCAATAAAAATTTGCGGGCAGGTTAAACAAATAGCCAGCGGCGTACCAACTTGTTTCTGAGTGGGGGGGAGGGGGGGGCAAACCAGACCCCCCTTCCCCCAACCAGGGCCAGGGGGGCGGTGCCCTTGGTATCCCTTGGGCGCCGCCGGCCAGTGTTTGCCCTGCCCAGTGGCGGCTGTTTCAGGGGGGCAAAACACATGAATTGCCCCCCCCCCCCCCCCTCTGAGAACTGGGGAAGGGCGAGCGCCCCCCTTGCCCCCCCCCCCCCTCCCCGGTTGGTACGCCCATGCGAATAGCTCGCTATTCAAAAAAAAGATTCACTTAAGTGTAACATGGAATGACATATATTTCCTAAATTTACTGCCGATGCAGCACAAAAAAATAAAACTTAGTTTGATGTAACCGTCTGAACTTTATCATTGATCAAAGAGAGCTTCAATCTTGCAGTCGGTCACGACGGGCGCCACGGTGAAGTTCGTCGTCCATTCATTCGGCGAAAGGGACGAAGTTGTCCGTAGTCAACGCATTCATTGAAATAAAATGTAAACTAGTCGATCGCTCTTGACACACGAAAAAATGAACACTCAATATCGTTACCGAGAGCGTTCAGACAGCACATCGCTTCGAGCGGGCAGAACCGGAAGCAAGGTAGGCCACCAAAAACGTTTCTCCTTCTTCCCGATAGATGGCGCCCAAGATTTGCCAATAGAGCACTGTAGAAATTTACAGATCGTTTAAATATGAAGGACATTACTAAGGAGGAACCACAACTACGACGACGACTTTCCTCCCCTTGCGAGCGGAGGCGGTTGAACAAGACCTGAGGGAAGTAGTAAGTCAACTCAGGAAGGAATCCCAAGAGTTCAAGGCAGAAACAAAAAGCAGAGCATCCTGGAAAGTAACAGACTTCAAGAAAGATGTTGCCACTAAGTTCGAAGATATCGATCGTAAGTTCTAAGACATCGACTGCAAGTTCCTCATCACCCTCAGTCGCCTCAAAGCCATCGAAGAACGACTGGACACATGGGACTCAGATATTAAGAACTATTTGCAGTCCCAAGACCTCAAGCGAAAGAAGACCGCCAACGAGAATTACGAGATGGAATAAAGTTATCCGGGCTTGACTACTTCGACTCGTAAAACATGCCTACCGAGTTTAAGATTTGGCAATGGAACTGCGGCAGCATCCACCGCAAGCAATCGGGACTCAGCTTGCTCGCGGCGGACAAGCAACCCGCAGTCCTCATGCTCCAAGAACCAGGCACCGAATCCGTGAAAGTCAAGGACTACGTAACCTTCGAACAAACCCAATACGTCTGCATCTTGATTAACAAGAGGTACATGGCAATGAAATGCACACTCCAAGCCCCCGCACCGCACAACTGCATGGTCTCCCTGCTCCCGCAGGGGGGAATCGCAGGAAGAAACGGACGGAAAACAAGCGCTTTCCAAATCTAAAGTGTATAGACCTTTGCAAAAAGAGCGCTCTGGCCGCCGCCATTTTGCGAATCGAGCGACCCCTATCAGCCAGAAATGTCTGGCACCCGCCTGAGCTGTGGAAACCCGGTCAGCGTGACTCCCCACCTGCATTTTGCATTCGGACTTCGCCGGCTTTTCTTGGAAGTTTTTGCTTTATTCGCCTGCTTAGGATGCTTACCCTTTGTATGTTATTTTCCACTGTGAGAACCCGGGAATACCAGGGCTCGTAGCCTGCCCGGCCTTCGCAGGAAACGAACGAAGAGAGCGAACGTCAAGCAGCCCGCGACGCAGGCAGTTCGACGTTCTTGGGGGATTATGTCCGTTGAGATAATCTCTAAAAAGCCTTCCCGGGTGTGTTCCGGGTTTTCGCGTAAAATAGCTGATAGAGTCGCGGGTCCGGGGTGTGGGACGGAATAGACACGTTCGTTCATTTGCTTTGAAGCTGTGAAAAAAAAAGGAGCTCTCTTCTACATGTTCCCCAAAGCTCGCCGGATTCCGTCCGATCGTTGTAAAGCGACTGTCGCCGATACTGTATATCGGATATGCTGTGTTGTTTGAGACTTTTCTCAAATCCTGCTCGGATAACGCGGCACCGTGGGGTACGTACAATATATGTTGTTCGATTGATGAGACTCGTTGAATTTCATGTTGTGGACGGGGAATATCCATGCAGTTCGTATATCCTGTGTGGTCAAATATTTTGACCTTTATAGATTGACACGGCTGAGTGTACGGTGCCGTAAAACGATGAACATAAAATGAAACATTGCAGTTGCATTTGTTCTGTCACGGCCGGACTCACCAAAACAGCTTTCGTTTCTCTGTGTTTGTTCCCAAAAATAGATCACTGTTTTCTTAAAGACCTCTATAAGTTATGTTCGCCACAGAACACAAAATAAGAAAGAAAGCGCGGCAATTTAGCCTCCACTAGCGTCCGGAATTGCGCCTACGCAGGCCTGCCACAGCTTACTAACAAGAAACTCCACAGCTCAGCGCAGTCGGGCAACACTGACGTACACTCTCAAAACCAGGGAGGTGCGCTGTAAATGGCTTCGTTCGAGACTGCCGCTGGAAAGGTCCCCAAAGCGTCCAAGGACAGCGTTCAGGAACCCTTCGAAGAGGCACTAGAGATTGCCGGGAACGACTCGATAATCATATGAGAGTAGTTCACTGCTCGACACAGCGCGAACACTAGATTCGGCACTTCGTTTTCACTGTGCAAAAGTATTTAAAAAAAAATTTACGAGTTAGGTTTGAGTCCTAAATAAGCACCCTCCACCAGATTAGCCATTTTGTGACAGTATTTGAATTATTCAAGTTGAAGAAAGAGAACAAAATAGCGATCAATTGTTCGGGCAACCAGTGCATTCAGAAAACTAGTTTCTGTAATGATGTCATTATCCACATACCTTTAATTAATTTATTTTTAGGAATTTCTGTTAGCATTTATTAATCTCGTCGATAAATTCGATTGCGATTATAATGCTCAGTAAATTCGCGCCGCCGATGCCGCCGCCCACCGGCTTATCGCTTGGTTGGATGCGGCGGCGCAGCGTCTATTTGATTAGGCAACGTTGTGGGTGCGAATGTTTGGGGGGGAGGGGGGGGGGGGGGTGAATGGAACCGCCTGCTGGAGCAGTCACGCTTGCCCGAACGCGGAGTACGCCTCGCCGAGTACTAATCCAATTGTCTGTTCCGTTCTCGGTCTGATTTGGACACTTGGAAAACAAATGTTTCCCTTTTATTTTTTATATTCCCATTCTTCTTTATCATTTTGGTGTCGTCCGGCGTGACTTCGGCGGTGCTGATTGGTTCGATGTTGACTCTTGACAGCGGAGGTAGCAGACGTAGCGAGCTGTTACTAATCTCTGGTGAAACCCTCTTTCCCCAAACAAGACTCTCTCGACTCGCTCTGCTGCAATCGGCCCAGTTCTGTGATACAATTATTCGTCAAACACTTCGCTCTTTGTTCCATTTCCAGCAATAGCCTATAAAGCTTTTCGCAGTAAGAATCGCGTCATTTCCTAAAGTGATGTAATAATTATACGCGAGTAGTGATTTTATTTTGGCTACAGGTGTGCCGTCCCGGGAACCACGCAAAATGCATTTAATATTACGTACATGACTGAGTCTCAGTGGGCAATGACTGAGTTTCAGTAAAGTCCGGAGCACCTCAGGGATCTGTGCTTGGCCCTCTTCTCTTTCTCATTTACATTAATGACTTGCCATTGAATGTCAACTCTTCTATTCGTTTATTTGCAGATGGTATTGTTGTATACCACGAAATTGTTAACAGTTCTGACATCTTACTTCTTCAAAATGATCTCGATTCCATATCAAGTTGGTGTGACACTTGGCACCAGTCATTAAATGTTGAGAAATGTAAACACATGATAATTTCGCCGGCGAGTTAACGATCTTCCTTCCTATATCCTTAATAATATAACTTTAGAGCAGGTTGACACTTACAAATATCTGGGCGTTCATTATATCATTATATTACATCTGCTCTAAAGTCAATAATATGACTTTAGAGCAGGTTGACACTTACAAATATCTGAGCGTTCCTTATATCATTATATTATATCACATGATATCTAACCTCACAAGGAATCGCATGCTCACGACGTCATTTCCAGTGCCAACCGCATGCTTGGTTATCTAAAACGTAATTTTTTTCTAGACTCCTTCGACTTTGAAGTTCTTTTTCTATAAACACTAGCCCGGCGAAAACTTGAGTACGCTTCTGCTGTTTAGGATTTTAACGCTAAGAGCCTCGTCGGCGCCTTGGAAGCTGTCCAGAATAGATATGTGCGTTTCATCGTTTATCAAGCGTAACCTCTATGAAAAAATGCCTCTCCTTGCCAACTCTTTGTTTACGCCGAAAGTTTTATCGATTACGCTTATTTCAGAAAATATTTTTTCACAACCCAATCCTTACTGCAGCCATCCTACATATCATCACGCAATGATCACATACATCAAGTCGAAATTCCACAGTGCCACACTAATACCTACTACACATCATTCATACCTCGTACGTCTGCTGACTGGAATCACCTTTCCACATTCGTTGCCACAATTGTTTTAATCCTGTTCATTTAAAAACAAATGCTGTATCCGTACTACTAGAACTTGATACGCGATTTGAGTGTTCTAGTAACTTGTACGTTATAATCCCACCCACTCTGTAATGCCTTCGGGCCCTGAGGGTACCAATAAATTAAATGAAATGAAAAAATTAGAGTAAAGCACATGGCCTAATCGCGTCTTTAATTATTCAGTCAGGATTAAGCAGCGGAAACCCCATTTTGATGTCCTGCTGAAGTGTGTACGGCGAGATTTACACGCTAAGAGTTTGCACTGCATTGTAAGTGGTCCAATAATGTGAATGCTGTGGAGATACATTACATTTTTTTTCGCGTGTTTAATCGTTGCATCGGTTAATCGAAATATATAATCTGCAACACTGTTTGAATTAAAGTTGGAAAATAATATATATTTATTACCATCTGAAATTAATCTCAGCAAGTAACCTAGCGCATTGGAGGTATTGGAGATCGCGTGTTTCAACGAAGACTTTCAAAATTTATCTAAATACAAAGAAATCCATACACACAAAAAAAACAAAAAAAACATCTTTTTCAAGAAACAAATTCTCAGTCACAGCAGACGTTGCGTATTGGGAAAACTAGCATACTAATTGGCTCAATAATAAACATTTAATAAATAATTTTTAAATTAGTCAAAATAAACACTTTCTCCTAATTAGAAACTGTATCTAAGTATTGGGATAATTAGTACGTTCTTTAAAATCTCCGATATCCGCCGTAGCTGGCAGTTAATTTGTTCCTGAAAAATGTTCCTTTATTTGCTCAACCACCCTGCACTTTAATTTTTGAAAGTCTTGCCTGAAACCCCCGGTATAGTGATGATAATATTTTACTGTTAATTGGGAGAGTAATTTTGCTCCTCTATATTTTTTTCTCAATTGCACTTGCGATGCTTTACTATGCTGATGTGGCGCCACTTTTCGTCTGTCTTAACCTCGCGTCTTTGGGTCACCCCGATACCTCGTTCCGAACCAAATCACTGCATGGGAAGACAACATGAAGTGGCAAGACATTCTTCCAGAAAATATAGTTGAGTATTTGCTTCCCTCCAAAAAGGCCTACAAAATGAGAAACAAGGCTAAAACATCTACAGGAGTCTACCTTTTGTAAAGCCGAGTAGCGCCTTTCGTGCGATGCGTATATTCACAGACGGATTAGCGCGTTTTTGTCCTGGAAAGCAATAGTTCTTGATGTTCGAATGAACTGTACAATGAGTGGTCTCATGGTGCAATCTGGACCACGAAATATGGCAATCCTCTGAGCGTGTTCAATCGCGTCATGCTCAAGATTGATAAAAACAAATTCCTTGCAAAGCTTTTCGGCCATCTTTCAGCCACTAGCCACAGCGTGTTTTCAGCCGAATTTGATACGTTGGAAAATATGACGTTATTTTTTTGTGGCTGTTTTTCAGTGAACTCGTATATCTATCTCGTCGAGACATTGTAATGAGACCGTTCTTTAGATGTTGTTTATAGAGAGAACTTCTATATTCTGTCGAGCTTCTCGAAGGCCAGCACAACCCGTCTCGATGAGTTTAACCGGCAAGGAACAAACATAGCTTCTTCATCATGTGACCTTCGTATAATAACAAGTTTGTGGCGCTTACTCAGTTGGTATTTATTATCAATCGGGCCTGGATGAGATTTGATGTCGCCACAAATTAACGACAATTTTAAAAGTAGAGTGCACCATCCGGATTCGAGGACTGCAAAATGATATGCGACACATGGTTAAAACTCTTCTACAATATACGACACACCTACGAGGGCACGACACGGCTATTACGCACACAATATTGTCGCGATAACCATAAAACAGTGAACGCACCTGTGTACCACATTGCCATAGATGAACCAACCTTAATAAAGAAATCAAGTAGACCGCGAATTTTACGGAGGTGACGAACTTGATTCCGTGTTTCACGTTGCCGCTGTTACAATCAGCTTGCTTCTCTTTGTCTTTGTATGGGTTCACGACGGAGCATAATCGGCTCAGCTTGTTGCGGGCAGAAGGAAACACTTTCGCTCCGTATCTAAATGCTTCCTTTATAAGTCGATGTAAAATGCGGTGAATATTTGGAACGACCGAGACCTTCCACTTTCCATTCTTCACCCTTACCACGTCCTAAACGGGCGCTTCTACAATGGGCAGACGGGGCGACGCCTGAATGTCCGACCGACCCCACACAGAGAACACCACGGTTTCTTTAAAGGGACACTCGCATTTAGCGATGCACTGTCGAGATTGCAGGTGCGAACCGCGGTTTTCCAAGACTACCGTATTCTTTGAACACCAAGACCAAACGTGTTGGAAAATGAAAAAAGCATAATACAAAACTATAACAGACCCTCGCGCGTGAGCCAATATTCATTGACTCTAATCATAGCTTCCTATACACCAACTCATGATACAAACAAACCGGAGCGCCCCTAGCGGACGCCGCCGATGGGGGTGTGGGTCAGAAGCTCGCCGTCGCCCATAAACAAACCATTGAAATGCAGTGTTGTCGGCATCGGTGTGAGTCCCCCTGCCCTTTTTCGAGGTCGAATTGTTGATGCTATACGTCTTTCTGACTTTGTCTGACTACTTCAGCGGCATCAGCGAAATTACCGAGGCTCGCTACACCGGAAAACTTCACTTGAATAGTGTGACATGTGGCCATTCATTCCGCGTGGACGCCGCAGTATGTACGCTAAAGCCTGATTCGCATGATGAGATTTCGCTCGCAATTTTCAGTCGCGACGCCGCTCGGACTGCAAAAGCGTGAACCGTAGCTGAGATGGTCGACGTCAATACTGAAACTAGCAAGCCGAATCGGACCAAGTAAATTGGGCATAACAAGTCGGTGATGGCGAACAAGTGTGTTTCGGGCAGGGACTCAAACCGTAACCGTAACCGAAACCGAAAACCGTTTAGGAACGAAATTTGTTCTGTAACCGTAACCGGAACGAAACCGTTATTTGATATTTGTAAAAACCGTAACCGTAACCGGAACCGTAAATTATTCCCCGGTAACCGGTTTTAACCAATATTAACCGAAAAATAAACTATTAGTTTTTCTGAAGTATGACGTGGAGGAGGGATCTTAAATTGTTGTGGCCATTTGACAGAGTTACTGTCAGCGAGTGGTGCATCTGGTTACATATTTCCATTCAATCTGACTTTAGGATTAAGAATACTCAGATTGAATTAGTGGTCGAGCTTATAATTAAAAAAAATTCTATATTTATAAATCTGCCGCACTCCTACATCGCTACATGTATTCAGTACGTGTCGCTTTCAGTGTATTAACTAATAAGTTCGAATTCTCAGATGACCATCCAACTCGGTTCTATCAAAACCACCGATGTTCCTGACATGCAGTAGCCAGTATAAAGAAACGAGGTAAATTGGCCATCATGCAGAGCTGGCGGAAAAGAAAACCTGGGCCCGTTTGCTCGAAGCGCGAACCGCGGCTAAAGTTAGCAGCAGTACCTAGGAGAGGGAGTTTGAAATCACGTGACTGGGGGCTGGCATGCCGTGAAGCATGGTGGCGCCCCGGTGCGTGAGCGCCGCTCGCTTTGTAACTAATATGTCGTTGTAGCTGCACTATCGGGCGCGTTAGTCAGCAACGAATGGTGCAGGAGGCTTTCGCTTTGCCTTACCTCGCTTAAATCGCAAAGCACGAGCAATGACTTCGCGGCATTTGTTGCATAGTCTTTCGATTCTGGCCTTTCTAAGCCTAAATGAACGCGATAAGTGTCGGCATGGCAACGTCTTTGGAAAGCGGATTGCCTTGACTCAATCGACCGGATATTAATAGTACACAAAAGAAGACCA